GGAAATTTGATTGTGAATGAACAATAATATTGTTATTTGCAAGAAACTAATTGCTCTAAAATTAGTTATTTTATTTCGTCTCTACGTAATTGCGGTAAAACGAATTGTATTAAAACAGGTGCTATTAATGAATTTTCATTCAGGTTGACAACATTTTTAGTTATTTACATAGTTCACAAAGTATAGGTATCGAAGAAAAGTTACGTTGCGATATTGACACACATGTAGTGTAAAGTTGCCTATGTCTGTCTGTGTCAACTGCCGTGGACGTCTGAACGCACTTGAGCTGGAGCCCAGTGGTAGAGTGGGATTGAGCGGGTTGTTGAAAAAACGAGCGTCGGAGTAGTACAGAGCGAACAACTTCTTTGTGGGTCAGGGTTTTTTTTCAGGGTCCTCGTGAGTGCAACAGCCGTCGTCCATTTGGCTGCGTTGTCGAGAGTGTGGGTGCGTTAGCGATAGCCTTCCCCGGATTGATTCAGCGATTGGGTATTTGGTGTTTCCGAGCGCATCAACTTATGTCTTTAGTACCGAAAGGGTAGTGTATGCTTTCTCTTGGAAGGTGGTGATGATCATACCCAGCTGGATGGTGAGCTCCGGCGCTGACTTACATGTCGGTTTAAGTTTTTTTTCAACTTGGCTTCTTAACCTTTATTTACGTGGTATAGTCAGCCATGTTCTGTGGGTCCTTTATACCGAAAAAATCGATTTATGGCAAAACGTATGTCTGCCCGATCGTCCGTCCGTGCGCCTGAATGGTTTAGCAAAAATTGATATTCCCCAATCGATCTGAATGAACTCGAGGCTTTGGGAGGTTCAAACGGATATTTTGATTTTTGAGGGTACTTTACATGAGGTTTCAAAAAAATTCCAAATTTTCTCAAAAATGGCATACAAGTTTTTGATCAAAATTCGTCGTCGGGGAGCGTGAAGGACGCAGTAGTATAGATAATAGTCATACGGCAGTAATATTGTAGGATATAATATATACGAAGACAGACGGCAACTGAAATGTATATATTAGATTAAGAAATAAATATTTGTGTTGAAGAGAATGGTGCAGGCCACATGTTCGTTAAAACCCCTGAATTGCAAAAGTGCAATTTTTTGAGGCGTCTTCCTACAACTATAATATTGAAGATAGATATTGTTTTCTTAATGAAATATGTTCCTTGTAGCCAGATCTTTTAAAGCTTAAATTCAATTTTTCGAAAATATGAATAGTTTTCGTGAAATTTGGCGCGAAATATAGGCACGTTAAAATTGTTTGAATATTTTTCCTCAAAAACAGCTCCAGTTTTTGTCTTTCATTTTTTTCGCAGATGGAAGAAAATCCTTAAATCAATGGCGCAAGTCTAATTTTCGTTAAACTCTGAGTTTTTGAAAATTGCAAATTTATAAATAATTCGATTAGAAATTATGTTGTAGCTACACTAGTTTAACCTTTTTTCTGCGCACTGCAAGAACTTGCTTGCGGTCTCTTTCATCTTGGTTAGGGGTGTACAGTGTTTTGTTGGTTTCAATTAACTTTAAATTAACATGTTTAATGCTCATTGAAAACTGTACATTGAAAACAGGGATCCTGAATTTTATTTTTATGTCAGAATGACCCACTCCCGTATTTTACAGAAGATCCATCAATCGTTTTGGAATTACAATGATAATAATACAATTTATTGCATCACTTGTTTCAAACATTATCAGTATAATAAAGCTTTTTGGTTGTTAATATTCCAAATTATATATGGTGGATCAAAAAGGACTCTACATTTGAAGAAGGCTTATTAAAATAACCTACAGGACTGTTACAGGTGTCATTATAAGGCGGGAGTTTTCAAGTGTGACTCATGTAATGCCGCATTTCCGCTTTCAGTCACTACAAACCCCAGCGGATTGTATTATAGCAGTGTCTATTTTCACTGGTGCGATGCGAGTGCGCTGTGTGTTTTAGTTTGAAAAAACGAACTCTGCAACAACAGTTCAACGTAAATTTCGCCCCAAATTCGAATAAGATCCTCCAAGCAGACCTACAATGTACTGTTGCCACAAGAGCTTCATTGAAACTGGTTGTTCTCTTTGAGATGATAAATCACCAAGTCGCTTGCATGAGAAATGGAAATGTAAAATACTAATGGTATCGTGTATCTGGATATGCTTTAAAATCCCTTAATTCCACAGTTAGATGCAGATGAACACGATGTGCCATTTTACTTTCAGCATGATGGTGCATCACCTCTTTTCTTCAAAGAATTTTCAGTGTTTATTTACAACCGCTTCGCAGGTTGGAGGACTGTTTGGGCAGGGCCAATTGCATGGGCACCTCCCTCCCCTGATTTGACACTTACGGATTCATTTCTCTGAAGTGTCATTAAAGATCGGGTGTTTGTTTCGCCCTTAGATATAATTTAGATGACGTGAAAAATCGAATATATGCTGTCGTTGCAGAGGTTACATCCAGTTTGCTGGCCCGAGTGTGGAAAAAAATGATTTCCGGCGGAATGATAGCCGACTTACCAATGGCAGTCACATCGAACCAAAATGCGATGATGTCAAACTTGAGGCTTCTCGCCCTGAAATGAACCCTGTAGCAATTCTGCAGGCCATTTCAATAAATCTCCATATGCCAGCTTACTTGTTAAGTCCTTTATGACTAACTCTGTATATTAGTAATTTAACTATTATTACAGTTCATTAACAACAAATGATAATTATGGGTCTCAAATTTCGACATTTCTTAAACACTGAATTTTCATACCTCGAACTAATACCAGACAAAGGATAAGATCAGATTAAAACATGATAATTGAAAGTATCCTCAGTTCTAAAGCTTGAACTCAGAAACTGTTGATTGTGTGATTCAACTCTTGACACGTGCAAGTTGACATATTTAAAATGCTATTTCATTCAATGAATATAGACCTTTCACGAATTGGTGGATGATTCGTTAAAACTCTTATACAATTCTTCTATTAATTTGTCAAGATTTGACAGAAAGCGAATTCAATTTAAGACTGTTATTTCGAGATGACACAATTTAATTATCTGCCGTACACACAAATGAACTTTTATATTCAGAAATGAATCATTATTTCAAAACAATATATTTCAGTTATAGTGAAATAATACATTATACGTGAAATCCAAAGAAAACAAAAGAAAATCCTGGGTCTGTAATTTTTTTATCAAATTTCTGTATTTCATATAAATGTTAACTATTTAAATATGCTACGTACATAGTACTAATAATGTATGTACACACTATTTTAAGCAGATCAGAAAGTATAATGTAATTATGAGATTTTACAATTGATTAATTTCATTGCAAATTTTAAGAAAATTTACTTGCATTCGATTTTGTTTCAGTGTACAAAAACTTTGTTATAACTGAATGGATAGCTCGTAGAAAACTAATTTGCCATGTTCAATATTCTGAATATTAATAAAGTAACTTTTAAAATATGGTGTTTTATAACCAAAATAATTATCGATGGTTCACTAAATTTTCTTATGAAATGTAATGTATCGAACAAATTCATCTGAGCTTCATTTGGGTATTTTGTTACAGCAAATTAGTGAATATGTGTTCATGTATTGTCGGTGTTAAGAATTTTCGTGCAAAGAGCATACGTAAAAAATACCTCTCCACTTTTGTCAAATTTTTATTGTTTCAATTAGGTAATCAACTAGTATTGAACATTTTTTCACAATTTTACGTTGTTTAAATAGACGGTAGGGGCAACTTCTGAGTGCAAACATTGGGAAGAAAAACTACTGTCGTTTGAGTTCAAAGTCAAAACGAACAGCCCACATTCAACCCGTTTGGTTGGTGGCATTTTGTGCTGTCCTACATCCACTTTTGCCACTTCCATATGCAGAAAGAGGAAACAAAGTAACATTGAATGTCCCTTTTGGAATGCTTGCTTTTATTTATCCACAACCTATAATATCTTCATACCACTCCCCTTTATTTCAATGCATATGTAAGTTGAAAATAATGTATTACAAAAAATAGTATGTATTTATTACATATAAGTTGTTACAGCTCTGTGTTAAATGTTCAATGGAACACATAAACAGTTGTGTAATATCATAATATAATTATATTAACACTAGTTGAAACGTGTATTTACATTAACTCCTTCTTAAACTTTTGTGTTCACAGTGAACTTTGAAACCTTTCGTAGCGGTATAGTCTTTTGTCATGGATTTTTCTCGTCACAGCGGCTTGAATGTCCTTTGAAAAGTTTATACTCGCCAGTGTTGAGACATTGAGACGAATATGTCAAAATTAAATTATTTAGTATACAGATGATGATACTTAAGTAAGTTGAGCAGAGGATAGGGGGGAAAATGGCATGATGTAGGATTGCCACCTTTCAATATTTTATATTTCTTATTTAAAACAGTAGGGCTAGGAGAGAAAATAAAATATTTCTTAAATTAATTTATTAAGTAATAAAATTTTAATGATGTATTAATATACATTTGTCAAAAAATATATTAATTTGTAGTTTGGAACATGTATTAATAAAAGTGAGTAATAAAACAATGTTAAAACACCGTAAAATGTTTATTCTATCGGTTTTCAATGGCTCCAATTATGTTTATTAACTCTAGAATACAACCATTTTGAATATAAGAATATTTTCCTTCCTCTAAGTTATTTTGTCGTAAATAATTCCTACGTTTACGTTCTCTCCTCTGAAGAAAAAAGAATAAGTTGTTTCTAGTTCCTCACAATTTGGCCGTTCGTGAAGGCGTCGGAGGTGGCAAATCTGGGGGAACCGAAAAAAACGTGGTTCGCTCTTTGAGTTATTTCAAAGTCTTTCCAGCAAAAAATCTCCGCCCGTCGAGAAAAAATATGTAATAAATTACGTAACTTTGAGTTCCGGAGGAATGAAATGTCACGTGACCGTGTGGGTGTAGGGATGGGAAGGAGCGACGGGCCACCGTGAGAGAGAAAGGCTCCGCGCGACATCTGTGCGCGAGCGGGCGAATCACATGCGAATCTCGATGCAGTCGACCTCCTCGTTGAAGAAGACGGACTTGCGCGCCGGCGGGTCGGAGGTGACGGAGGCGTCGTCGGCCTCGGGGGCCGCGGCCGGGGCCGGAGCCGGGGCAGGGACAGGGGCCGGGGCCAGCTCGGGCAGCAGCTCCTCGTAGGAGTTCTCGGACACCGGGCGCGGGCGCTCGTAGCCATCGGACGGCGCCGGCACGTAGTCGTCGGACTCGGTGTCGCGCGCGTCCGCCAGCAACACGGACGGCCGCACGGCGTCGGCTCCCGGCGGCGGCGCCAGCCCCAGCCCTCGCCCTTGGCCTGCCACGCTCCTGCGCACACAGACACGACCTCAGCACGCGCGCAGGCACACACACACCACATACACACACAGAGAAAAACAAGATACCAGGAAACAGACAGATAACCAAGGGGCAGACAGAAGGGAAGACAGGCAGGGACGAAGGGTCCGGTGGACGACGAAGGGAGAGGGACGAAGGATAAACATTACGAAATGGCAGACAATAAGCGTAGGAAACACGAACGGGTAGCGACGAATAGGCAAACACAGACGATAGAACAGAAAGAGCCAGAGAGAGGGGGAAAAGAAATGGAGAGTAGGGGAAAAAGGGAAGGGGCCGAAAGAGACAAAAGGGTAGTCAGGCACGCAGACGAAGGGCAGGGAGTGGCGAAGGGGCGCACAGAAGCGAAGAGACAGAGCCAAAAGAAGAGTCGTAGACGAAGGGGCAGAGAGAGGGGGAGGGGGAGAGCGGAGAGAGAGAAAGAGAGAGACGAGAGGCAGAGGTAGATGGAGCAAAGAGACACGAATGGGGTCACAAATCACATACAGATACGCGAAGGTAAAATACTAGAGAAGAAAACGCGAAGGGAAAAGAGACGCGAAGGAAAAAAAAAGAAACGAAGGGGCACACAGGGGCGAACTGGCCCACAGAGGCGAAGGTGAAGACAGTGACGATAGGACAGATGGAGAAGAAGGGACAGAAAAAGAGAGAGGCAGAATGAGAGAAAGGGGTAGACAAAGATGAATGGATTAGCAGAAATGATGGGGCACAAAGATAGACGAAGGGGCAGTCACGAAAGGGGAGTCAGATACGGGGCCAGAAACATGGTTGAAGGGACATACGGAGAAAATGGGACACACAAAGAAGGAGCAGAGACGAAGGGGTAGCTATGATGATAGGGGAATTCAGAGATACTCAGACAGAGATAGACGAAGGAATATACAAGTACTAAAAGGATCATAGGCACAATGAGGCTAACAGAGACATAGCGGCAGACGGAGAGGAATTGGCTGACACCGACAAAGGGACAGGCAGTGTCTAAGGGACAGGGAGGGCGGGGCCGACAGACACGAAGGGGCGCACAGATACAATGTACCCGAGACACATAAAGTGCAACCCAGAGACGAAGGGGTAGACGAACGCGCGAAGGGACTGGCAGTGAAAAAGGGCAGGCAGAATGGAAAGGACTCGCAGAGACGTAGGGACACACAGACGCGAAGTGGGAGACAGAGATGAAGGGACAGACAGTACAAAGGGCCTGACAGGGAGGAAAGAGCAGACAGTCGAAAAGTCAGGCAATGATAGGACAGACAGACATGGGGGCAAAAATTGACAAGAGGAAGGGGGGATTAACTGCAAGGAAAGAGGCAGACTGAGAGGAAGAGACAGGCATTGACGAGAGGACAAAATACAAGTTAAAGGTAGGCCAGGCAATGATAGGGCAGACAGACAGAAATGGGGGCAAAAGTTGACAAGAGGGAGGGGGGATTGACTGGAAGGAAAGAGGCAGACTGAGAGGAAGTGACAGGCATTGACGAGAGGGCAAAATACAAGTAGTTAAAGTGGCGGAGCGCGGCCAAAAGGTTATCGATGGGCTCACCTGTCGTCGCCGTACGCCATTGTGGGGCTGGGCGGTTTCTTCAGCATTTCATCGCGCAGTGGCTCGATGTCCACCACCGACAGCTGGCTCCTACGCACACACACACACACGAGCTCACCCTCCCGCCCACACCCACTCTCCTTCGCTTGCTGCTCTGCCTGCATACTCACGGGCTGCCGTTCTCGCTCAGCCGTTTTCCCTCCACCATCCGCGGCCTGCAACGAAACAACCTTGAATGTAACTGCCGCAATCCAACTTCGGTTACAAGCTCCATATTGAAGAAACAAGATTATAACAGTATTTTTTTCATTCATCTTAAATTAAATGCTGGAACTGATTATCTCTCAAAATTTGAACGTGGTAAATGAATTTGGTAATGACAAAAGCTTGACATTTGAGTTTGACAAGCGACAGAATTCACCTAGAGGAGAGGCAGAGTAGTAACAAAAACAGAGTGTAAAGAACTGCAATTCAAAATGCCGCACATGACTACTATATTTAGAAAAGAAATATGAAGTTGTCTTTGATAAAAATTAAGGGAAAATGTTTTTTATTGTTTTTAATTGTTTCACGAAACATTGTGAAGAATAATAAACATATTTTATTTATAAAAAAATTACAATTATATTTCAAGTGACTATTGACTTAAGTGAGTGGTAGTTGAAGATATCTTATGGTACTCCATAATATGAGTTAAGACTTAATCAAACCACAACAAAAAGTGAAGAATTCTGAAGTTATAATTGGGGTCAAAAGAGTGCTAATCATTTGATAAATTGATCGTCAATTCAACCGTTCTTTTGATCACAAAGATAGCTTCAGAATTCTTCACATGACAAAGGCAATGTGTGAACATTTTTGAAAAATTAGAAATTTTTTTTTAGTTATGTTTAGACTAATTAGAACCCATCTGACATAATATCACTTGGAACATCCCAGAGCAACAATGGAACGAATTACTTTACTCTACTTTTCCTAGTGGAATTGGCATTTTCGGTATCTTGCTTCTCCAAAGAAAACCACCTCCAGAAGACGGTACTGTATTGAACGGCCCACATTCTAAGGAAAGAAGCTCAGGGCACATTATGAAGCACATTGCAACTACGAGCACGGTTTCTTCTCTACCGACAGAGAAGAACCGACGACGTACACGAAAGGAATAATATCATTAGTAGTAAATGGTATTGTTTGAGGGCGAGGGTGTCGCACCTGACGCCGAACCAGTAGCCGACGATGCCCGCTGCCACCAGCAGGAGGCCCAGCAGGACGGCCAGCGTGATGACGGCTGCCAGCAGCCCCGCGTCGCCCCCGCCGCCGCCGCCGCCGCCGCCCAGCTGGGGCGTCTCCGCCTTCGCCTGCCAGCCATTGGTCTTCAGCTGCTCCTCCACCTCCCTGCGACACGACACCGCGCCCGCGTCATTAACTGATTGGCTAGAGATACCGGGCGCGTCCAATGCTAACGCCACTTCCGCTTTTAACACCGAAACCCTTCCTCCTAAGGAAAACATTTTTATTGCAAAAAATAAAGAACTTTATGTTAAATCTCGAGCGAGAACCCAGTAGGTAAAACTAGAAATCCAAAAAAAGTCCACGGTGGAATAGACAATTAACCATTTGCACTCTATGTTAAGTGTATAACATTAAGCATCTGTTATAAATTTTAAAAACGAATTATAGTGCTTAAGATTCGAATTCTACGTACACGTACATAATACTTCAAATTAGATCAAAAAGGAATTTGAACAAATTAACATTTGAAATGCAAAAAAATATTTTTCGTCCTATGCTCAGCAATACTGGAAAAATGTTCCTATCAGTTATAAAATATGTCCGAAATCCCAGGCATCGTATTATACATGCAAAATTGGAAAAATATAAAACTTCGAGGCCTTTTAATGCCTCACTCGGAAGACTGAAAACCCAGAATACTTTTTGATTTCCGTCAAATGAAGCGATCAAAATCCGCCTTATATAGCACCAACGATTCTACGGGGTCCTATTTAGGCCTGTGTCACACGAGTGTTGCATTGACGCGCGTCACTTAACGCTGATGACGTCGATGCCTGCACCCACGAGTGGCTTAACGCGCGTCGTAGATTAACACTGAATCGTATGCAAAACGGCGGACTTGGCTTCGTTCGTTGTTGCCAACACGCATCTGCTAGCGGCCGTCGCGCGTAGAAATCTAGAAAACGCGCGTTATCACGACTCACGCTGTAGCGTCTTACTTGAGCTATGGGCATAACGCACGTTGCCAAGCAGACTCGTGTGTCGTTTTACAAAAGATAGTGTTAATCTACGACGCGTTACGTGACTAGTACGCAGGCATCGACTCGCGTCGACGCATCTGACAGTCGTTAGATGTAATAGGTGGCGCACGTCAACGCAACTCTGTTCCGACACAGGTCTTAAATGCCCTGAAAGGAGCGGGACTTACTTTTTGAATTGGTCGGCTGACTCAGGGCTTCCGTTCCTCAGCGAGTAGAGCACGACGCGGAGGTGCGCCGCGAACGTTTCCTCGCCTTCGTTCTCGTCCCCGTCCCCGTCCGCGCCGTCGTCCTCGTCCTGGCTGTTGTCCTGCTGTGGCGCGCGTCGCACGCGCAGCAGGTGCGGCAGCGGGGTGGGGGCGGCGGCGGTTGCCGCGCGGGAACCTTCGCCCGGCAGCACCGTGGCCGACAGCAGGCGCAGCTCGCGCCCGGAGCTCGCGCCGTCTTGCAGCAGCTGCTCGGCCTCCTCCGGCAACGCGCCCTCCACGCGCACCTCCACCAGGTGCTCCTCGGCCAGCGCCACCAGCTGCGCAACCACCACCACACCATTTCACTTATCACTCCTACGCCCAGTGTTTCATTCATTCATTCATTCATTCATTCATTCATTTGTGAAGGCTCTTCTAATGAAATTGAAAAAACGAACATCAGGCGGAACGTGGATGAGCAGATTGATTGATTATTGAGCGGTTCGTGGTCCCGCAAGTGTAGTGCGTGTTTTGCATGAGGAGGCAGAGATGGCGAGATCGGCGCCGAACTACACGTCGGCTAGCGGGATTTTCTTCAAACAGGTATCTCCTACCAGTGGGGCACCGCCCCAGTCGTGATAAGCTCTTCGCTTTCAACTGGTCTCTGGACATGTGCATTAGTGAAGTGCATGTAAGTGTGTGTGTGTGTAAGTAAAAGGTAGGTATATAACAAGGAAGAGGGAGGAAAGATCGCGCGCGATTCGTTTGTTAGGGTACTGCTCCGGATTTCGTGTAGTGCTGATCACAAAAACCACAGAAAACTACCAATCAGAGCAGCCGGTCACTAGAATTTTGGCCCAGACAACCGCTGAATCCGATCTAGCTATGTAGCTAGTGTCAAAAATCCTGCCACCCCATCGAAACTCGAACTCTGGAACATCCATTGTTCCACTACGCTAAAAATACGTAAAACATATTCCTGTTGGATATAAAATTTATTCGAAATTACCATTTCCAAATTATACTCGCAAAGCCGAAAAAATACGAAACCCCGATATTTTTTAATACTCTGGCGTTCACTCGGCAAGGAAATAATAATTAATATACACAATCTAAATTTAGTAAGTTACGAAACTTATATGTAAACATCGTGTAAGTTAATCTGATATTTTTACGATGTTTCATGAAATTCAGTTACTACACGCGAGAATTTGTGGCCACTATGACCTCTCACATTGCCGCCTGCAATTAGGGGAACTGGAAAAATTTTAATACAAAACCATAACGCATTTTTATTCTAAACAAAAACAAAACCCAATAATATCTATTTTATTATATCTGTGAAACACGTTTTTCATATCGTACCACAAGCAAAATTTAACTTGAATAAATTATCGGCTTATTCACCACCTTTGCATATTACTGGAATTGCATTGATCCGTAGTTCAATAGAGACTAGTTATCTTAAGAGTGTGTCTGCGATAACTTGCCTGCAGCCCACAGCCCCATAACTACTAATATAATATTTTTTAACCGTCCTAGAGGTGCTGCGGCGGACAGATGGCACACGCCGCAGTCCCCAGCCCCATTGACTATGCCTCCTCGTCCTGTCCGCTCGCAATCATTCTCGCCCGCACGCAAATACGTCTGAGTGAGGAGAAGTGGCTATTGTGTTACGAGATGCACGGTGATTTGGAAAAGCCCCACAGTGATAGATTGGAACGTTCATTAAAAGCGCCTACAACCTAGCATTCATTGAATTGTGTTTCCGGGTGCATCAACTATAAAGGTCATTAGTTCCGTTAGTGTAGTACATGTCTTTTCGGTAATCTTCCTCGGCTGGATGGTTAGATAGAGTGCCGACCAACACAACCGGTAGCGGGGCTTTCCCGTATCAGGTACCTCCCGGCAACGGGGCACCGTCCCAGCCGGAACAAGCTCTAAGCTACCAACTGGCCTCCCGATATGTGTGGTAGTTTAGTGCACATGCGTGTACCAATGTATACGTGAGACTGACGAAAGCACAAGGTCAAGAAAGAGGAAGAACATATCACGCGTAGTCCGTGACACTTTTGTTACGGTACTGAACCGGCATAACATAAATACTGTTAAGGTACTGCTCCGGCATAACGTGGATCGGAGAACTACGGAAAACTAGCGATCGGAACAGTCGGCAACTAAAATTTTCCTCCAGTCCGGGACTGAATTCAACCTAACTCTCTAGATAGTATCAAAAATCCTGCCACTCGTCGCGATTCGAACCCTAGGATCTGCAGGTCAGAGGCACTACAGTGACGTCAGTTGACGCTCTGGGCCACCTACGCCGGTCGTCGCTCTGGAGCGGGGCAGGAGCGCGCGTGGACTCACGGTGACGTCGAGGTTCCCGGTCCTGCTGCCGTCGGCGCCGAACGGGCCGTTGCGGTCGGTGGCGCGCACGACGACGCGCTGTCCGCTGGCGGGCGGCGGCACGTCGCTCCGCGGGTACACCGCGCCGCTCACCGCGTCCACCTGCAGG